ATTGATCTACCTGTTCTGTTCCCCACTCTGTCTCTGGTGAAGCCTCTCACTGCCCCTGAGCCTCTGGCCTGTACCCCAGTTCTGTATGTACAAATAAGTAAATCTTTTTGTAAAAAAAAAATGTGTTTTGTGTTATTTTTCTGAGTATAGGAAGTCAAAATCTGTGTATCAGAACATTATCATTATCATCATTGTTACCACCATCCCATTAGTGACATTTTAAATTAAATTAATTTTTAAATAAGTTGATGTGTTTATATATATATATTTTTAAAAGATTTGTTTATTTGTGCATACAGAACTGGGGTGTAGGCCAGAGGCTCAGGGGCGGTGAGAGACTTCACCAGAGACAGAGTGGGAAACAGAACAGCTAGATCAATGAAGTACACTGCTGAGGGGAGCAGCGGGCGGGTCAGGAGAGGTCTGCCACACCATGTGGTCACCTCCGGGGCAGGCGGGAATCGAACTCATGCGGAAGAGGCTTTAGATTCTCAGTGCTGTGCTTTAACCCACTGTGCCACCAGGGAAGGCCATGTTTATATTTTTAAAGTTATATTTATTGAGGCAATTTGATTTATAACAGTGTATATCTTAGGGGTATATGTTTACAACTCTATGATTGTCTGTTATTTCTCCACACCCACCACCAAAACACCAATGATACTCCATGAAAACACCTTCTCGGCTTTGTTCCCACCCCACCACCTTCCCCTTCTAGTAGCCTTACTCATAGTTCAATGTGCTTTTCCACCTCCTGTTTCCATCCCTGCTTCAACCTCTCTGGATACCACAGATCTACAACCAACTTTCAAGATTTTTTTTTTGTCTAATGACATTTCTTTTAAGATGAGAAAAAAATTTTAAATATATATACATATATATAAGTAAATATATAAGTGTCTGTATGCATTAAATGATAAGAACCTTGAACCTCTGAACTGGTGGGGATATTTGATGATCTTTGTTCGAAATCACTCTATGTATAGTGTATGAAATTCATTGGAATACCTTAAAAGGAAAGTGATGCTTCAGACAAAGGTCACACGAATCATAAAAAAAAGTAGTACAGCCATAGACCATTAATCCATTGTCTTAACTAGAAAAGTGAGACAAAATCTACAAATTTCCCAGTTTACCAGAGAAAATAGAGATCTTGAATGCAAAAGAACTTCCAAATCCTTGTGTTGTACTATGAATGCCGAATCCACATCTTAATTCATGAGACTGAAAAGTTAATTTGTGATAAGGCTATCTTGAAAAGCTTACTAAAATGAAGATAAACAATATCCTTTAGATATAGAACTGTGTGATTTTCACTCAGGCATTTGCAAGGCCATATTGAAAGGGAAACACAGGGGGTTGATATTTAGAGTAAGTGTATCTAAAAGACACTCGTGAACACACTGGTGCCCAAATGGGTAATTTCAGGTGGCTGGTGGAGTCCTCAAACTTCAATTATTTTCTTGAATATGTTGAATGAAGATATCATGACAAGATTTAGGATCTTGTCTTAAAAAGCTGGATCTGAAAACTCAGGATGGTGGCAGATGTGCCTGCAGGCATCTTGTAAAGGAGATCCACATAACAGAGACATTGTTTTCCAGTTCAGAGAACATTGAAGACTTTTGGTACCCTTGTGGAGTAAGGCTACCCTTAGTACACTTAGGAGGAAGAAAGTTAGTAAATTGAAGGTTAGTGAAGGTAAATTGCCAGGTAAGTGGAGGAACTAGAATACACAACAGATGAGGATTACTTTACTATATCACAAGACTCAGATCCAACAAGAAAAAAGTCATACTTTCAAGGGTTGTAGTGTAGAAAAGAAATTAAGCTTTTGATTTAATCTTTATAACTTTGTTGGGGGGAGGGAGCTGAGGATTGAAAAAGTGGGTAAATGTTATAGGGAGAAATTGCAATTTGTAAATAATAAGTAACTTTAAATGTCAGCTGTCAGAAGATGAGCAAATGGAGACTTGGATGGGTCCTTGGGAGGATGTTACCAGTACCAGTGCACATCTTACTTCAACGCAGACCCTCTGCTTTCTTCTTTAAATATTTGACAAGTCATCATCATCACCATCTTTTTGACTGAGGATCCCAATAATGGAAATCATTACTTTTTTGTGATTAAGATAATTTAGAAGATCTGCAGAGTTTACTTTGCATATTGATTTAGTAGGTGAGAACTGGAAGCTCACAAATGCCATATGCAAATGTGTTCCAAATGAGCTCTAAATATGGACTTGGAGCTAATTGTTCTGGCTCTTATTTTAGTGGGGATGAAGCACTGGCTAAACATGTTTCAAGGATATGTTAGCATCAGAACCAGGGAAATGAACAGTAATATATATGTAATTTTGGAAAGGAGGACATTCTGTCTGAAACTGCTGGGAGAAAAGGGAATGTTGAATGAACTACATTTAGCAGAACTGTGAAAATAGTGTTAAGTCACTGAGAACACTGGATTTTCAGGGTCAGTCACATCTAAGAACACAATTTTATTTTTTCAGTATAATGTATAGACAGAAAAATGCACAAATTCTAAGAGTACAATTAAGTGAGTTACCACAAAGTAAACACATGAGAAATCACCATCCAGGTTAAAAAAAAAAAAGTGCAGATATCCTCCCTTATGTTATCATAAATCAGTTTTGCCAGTTTTTAACCTTTCTATAAATATACTCACACATTACTTTTTTTGTGTGTCTGGCTTCTTTTTTTAACTAATACTGTTTGTGAACTTCAACCATGCTTTGTATGTAGCATAACTGCTTCATTCATTTTTATCCTAAGAGCACCCAAATGTGCCACCTTTTTTATAGTCCATCTAAACATGATACTTTTTTATAGTACACTTTATTTTTGATTGGCATTTAGGATGTTCGCAGATTTAAGCAATTATACATATTGCTAATGTGAGCATTCTTATAACTTTCTTGGTACACACACATTGCTGGTTCATGAGATATGTGTATGTTCAGCTTTAGAAGTAAAGGTACTAATTTTCTTACTTTTCCATTCCACATCCTCTGCAATACTTGATATTGTGAATCTTTCTAATTTCAGCTGTCTTGTTTACAGTCTGCTATCCCCTTATAATTTTTATTTGCGTCCCCCACATCACTCTCAATATGATTAACGTTTCATGTGTTCATTGTGAACTTTTTGCAAATTGTCTGCTCATGTATTTTTGTGTATACTAGTACTAAAGTTATTTTAGTACTGTCTTATTTATTACATATTTAATACAACTGCTTTTTCAATTAGATGAAGTACAAATCCATGATTTGACCCTTTACTCTCTTACAATATCTCCATTAGCCAAAATATCTTACTTTAATGTAGTTCAACTTGTCAGTATTTTTTTAAAGATGTGTTTACTTATGCATACAAAACTGGGGTACAAGCCAGAGGCATGGGGAGAGTGAGAGGATTCACCAGAGACAGAGTAGGGAGCAGAATTGACAGATTGACTGAAATATACTACTGAGGGGAGCAGAGGGTGGGTCAGGAAAGGTCTGCCACACCATGTGGGTCACCATCCTGGCCAGGAATCAAACTTGTGCTGCAGTGGCTGTGGATAGTTTCATAGTGCTGTACTTTCACCCTTTGTGCCACAAGGGAGGACCTCAACTTGTCCACATACTGGGTTTTATATATTAAAAACCTTGCTGTGTTCCAGGGACTTTAAGACATTGCCTGTTATCTGGTAGAAGATTTAATTATCTTTTGCATTTAGATAAATACTATATATGGAAATTATTTTTATGGATAGTAGGAATGTGTAGAATCAAGATTAATGTTTCTGCCATTTGAATATTTAATTGTCCAGTTCCATTTATTGAAAAGATTATTTCCCACTGTTCTGTATTGCTACAATTTTTAGCACTTTTTAAAAAGATTTATTTATTTATTTAGACATACAGAACTAGGGTACAGGCCAGAGGTGCAAGGGCGATGAGAGGATTCACCAAAGACAGAGTGGGGAGCAGAACAGGCAGATCAATGAAGTACACTGCTGAGGGGAACAGCAGGCCGGTCAGGAGAGGTCTGCCACACCATGTGGTCACCTCCGGGGCAGGGATCGAACTCATGCTGTAGTGGCTTTAGCTTCTTAGTGCTGATCCTAAACCCATGAGCCACCAGGGAGGGCTCAATTTTTAGCATTTCTAACTCACTTCTCTATACATTACTATGTGAATTGTAATATAACTGTAGTATTTATAAAATAGTGTGGCACAAAGAGATGGTGAGTTAGAATTGCTTGAGGAACTTTTTATTTTGGTATTCACAGTATATCTCTACAGCTGTGTGCAGTGTTTTTTGAAGGTAGGGTAAAGTGAGAGTGTAGATAAATATATTCCCCTCCCCTGCTAATCTAATACAAACTCTGATTTTAAAAAGCTTCTCTCTTAACGCTAATTAGCAACTTAGAGTTTCATATCCTAGTCAGTGTTAAATATAAATGATAGTGCTAAGCAACAAAATGCATCATAAAAGTAGTAGCTCTAAGACCTTAAAGCAGCACAGAAAAATTCAGTAAATTTCCACACCAAAATGAAGTGCTATATATGTAGCCAGTTGCCCCAAACATCGGAAAATTTATCTTCTTTTTTATTTTTGTTAATATCACCTTCCAACCCCTTCTTTCTACTGACCTTATTCCCCCATTATTTTTAATACTCACATAGAATTTCCCCTTTATTCTCTACAAAATTCATCTTGAATGATTTGTTTCTTTTAAGTGACTACTTTAGACTAATAGCAGTCATAAAACCTCAATATATATATTTCTTGACAATTGGTCTTACTGGAATTTTGCAAAGTGGACTATTCATCTTTAAGAGATTGGTTGTTTCAGTGCTAATGTATTTGAAATGGTTTTGAGGTTTTGTGGTTGCTGTTGACATCCTGAGGAACCTAAAACACTTTTGTTTCCTTTGCTTAGTGAACCAGCTAGGCCTGGTAAATGCATGCAGATCATGGAACTACCAAAACAACTTACTATTAGAAAATCCTGTTTGGAAGTCAGACAGCTGGCCCATTTTTGCACCTCATCCTGAAAATCTGGCTTTTTAAGGTAAGTGCAGAAAACTTGGGGTTGAGGAGACATGAATGTTAAGTAAGACAAAAAACGATAGCTTGATGAATTTTCCTGTATAGTTTGAATATCTTTAAATGCCGTTGCTGTAAAGACAAGCTTATTTACTCTGATCACAACTCTACTATGAAAAAATTGTTTAATTCTTCCTGTGTAGGACACACTACTTTGATGGCAAAACCTAGTTTATATTGGTGGCTAAATATGGACAAAAAAAAAAATGTTTTTAGAATGTGTCAAAAGGAAAAAAATATATAGCTGAGAACATGGTTGGTATCTTTTGTGAGGGGCTCAGTGTTGCATTTACGTATTATCCAAATGTCTGTCTTTTAAAAAATGTTTTATTTGTAATTTGGTTAGTAAGATTGTCATATGTAGTTTGTAACCATTCTCATAGCATTATGTAAAGAAGAAACCAGTCAATAGAAATTAGGTACTTTGACATTTTTAAGAGATGTACACATATTCCAAATAACGGGTCATAATGATTATTGTAATCCCTCTCATTCTGTTTTGACCATGTGGCAGGAAGTATCTGAAAACAATTTTAAAGATCATGTAACTATTAAGACAAACATATGTTCAAATAATCCCTCTATGCCATTATTTATTTACTTTTTTTTACAAGAATGTTGTGTTTTAAATATGTAGAATGTATATAATACGAAGTAAAGAAAATGTAAGTCAGAAGTACACAACATGAGTTTTAGTTTAATCTTGCTTCTTTAAAAGATACATAATATGCTTTTGAATGGCTCACTTAATTCTCTGGATTTCAACTTTCTACAAAAAAAATGATTTATTAAAGTACTCCAGACTAACAACTCTTTATATTGTGGTTTAGTAGCTTTATACCAATCAAACATTCAGTACTTTGACCAACTTTATAATTGGTCAATAAAAGTAATTAGAAAACCAATGGGTGAAGAATCAAGTGACATGAATTTGAGTCCTCTATCTCCTAGTAATTGACTAGGATCAGACTGAGTCTGTTTTGCTTTTGACTGATTTGAACAATATTTTCTAATGACATTGTAGGCCAAGGACTGAAATTTTTCTATAAAGGATGAGATAGTTAATAGGTAAAAGGTTTTGAAGGACAAAGGGCAAAATTGACAACACACAAGGATTTACATACTTATCTAAAATGTAACAATTTAGAAATCATCAAACCATTTGTAGTACACAAGCTGAATTAAAAGGAGAAGTGAACTTGATTTGACTTAGGGAACTTCTTTGCCAATGCCTGTGCTAGGCAAAGATGTTCAGCAATTATAAAATATAATATGTAGAATACATCAGACATATTCTGATGTGGTATCCAGGGACTTCACAGTCATGTGACTCTTAAGAAGTTTGTCAATGATACTTAAGATGATATATCAATCACCTAAACTTGTACACACAAAAACTGAATGCAAAGAAATGTATGATTTTTTAAAAATATTTATTTATTTATTCATACAGAACTGGGGTACAGACCAGAGATGCAGAGGGTGAGAGAATTCACCAGGGACAGAGTGGGGAGCAGAACAGGCAGATTGATGAAGTACACTGCTGAGGGGAGCAGCGGGCCGGTCAGGAGAGGTCTGCCGCCATGTGGATCTCCTCCAGGGCAGGCGGGGATTGAACTCATGCGGAAGTGAACTTAAGCTTCTTAGTGCTGTGCTTTAACCCGCTTTGCCACCAGGGAGGGCCGAAATATATGATTTTTAATGATGACAAGCATCTATAGTTTTTTCAGATTTTCATTGTGATCTAAAACCCAGACAAGCTAGTTTCTAAAAATGTATCCAAACATAAATCTCCATAAACATACCAGATGTTTTTTGGATGTCTACTATATTTAAGTTTCTGGTCAAGCACTATAAGGAATAAGCACATTATGACTAAAATAATATGTCAAACTATTTTAAAGAAATCACAATAAATGCAAACAAATATTTCAAAGTAGTCAATTTAAAATTCATATCAATCACAGAATATTTCTGAGGTATTGCTTTGCAAAATCTCCTCAAAGCTAGTCTGTGTTATATTGGATTATTTATCAAATGTTCTTTCTGTTCCATTTTGTATATGACAATAGTAGTATTCATGACACTCAAAATCAAATTTCATATAAGCAGTGTCATTCCTAAAAATATGATTGCCTGAAGGACAGAACTTTGCCTTTTCTATCTGTGTTCTGGCATAGTGTTTGGAACATATTTGTACTCAACTTCTTTAGAATTGGTACTTTAAGGAACAAATGAATGAATGAGCAACTGAATGAATGAAGATATTAAAATGCTGATATTTTGGGCCATAGTAAAGGCTTAAATCCAAAATAATCTAAAAGCAAGTGTTTTTAGATTAAGTCTAAGGATTACTTCCCTTTTCAAGTTTGGACATAATTATAATTACAAAATACTTGGTGAGCAAACGATTGCATTTCCTGGGGAGTAAGTCAGTTTTTTTGTTTGTTTTTTTAAGTGACTTCTTTTAAATTAATTTACATGGGAAAGAGACTTACTTGTCACAGAAGTGGCAGTAACTAATTCTTTCAGATAGGGTAAGTGGAGAAATAAGTTATTTTAATGAATAGCATCATCTAAGCTTTTTCTGCCATGACACAAAGTAGAAGGTACCAACTAGAGCACTGTGCAAAAGTTAACTTTTCTCAAATATTGCAAAAGGCAGATCTAATAGAATCTAGAGCACTACTTTACCCCCTGATAAAAAATACTCACCCTAATCTCCATTACCTGGTCAGTTGATTATCTGAAATCTGAGCATTATTTGCTGGGGATTCCCCACAGCCATATGGGAAAGGGAACGACTTGCTATTCAAATGTACTTTCCTCCTCTCTCCAGGAATAACTTTATATCATGAAAGAGAAATTGAGTCTTAAAGTGCTGGGCAATGGCCAAGGCCCTCCTACAGGGAAATTTAAATCTTAAGGTCTAAAATTGTAAGAAATATTATAATTTTTACAACATGGATTGTGTATATCTATTGTTATGCCTAAAACATTTTATACATAAGAAGTACATCCTTATGTACTTCCTCCTCTCTCTTCATGCCTCAAAAACTGTTAAGGAGATAGTGAGTACTATTGCCTTTGGATATAAGTGCCTGTACAGTCTCACTCTGTATTAAATAGCACCATTCATTTAACCCTGTAGCAGTTGCACTGGTGACATATTCCTGGAATCTCCTTAAGGGTTGGGATTAGTCCCAGACAACTTCATAAGTGAAATCTCAAATATATAACACAATTATGTTCCATGATCTAAGGTCTCAATGATAAAGGAAACAGTCCTCTCCTCAAGGATTTTGGAGATTCCAAAAGACCCCAAGTCATATAATCTATACATATAAGTGAGCAGTTACCCTCATTTTGACTGCTGACCTCTGTACCTCTCTTTTGAATCTGACAAAATTTTATTAAACGACCAGATAAAATTATTTTGTGGATTTTATGATTTGATCTCTGTCACAATTACCTCTACAATTGCAATGAAAAGGTAGTCACCTCTGAAGGGTAAGCCCAATTGAACAGAAATGTGGTCCAATTAAGTTGGAAGCATTGTCAATATTCACAGTGGCATTCATGCTACTAAATGTGCAAACATAAAATTATCCTTTCTTGACTCAGAAACAAATTGACATAATTCAATTGTTCTAAAGACAAATTCTCTGTTAGTTTCTTTTTCTTTGTTTTTTTTTAATTGTAGCAAAATATGCATAACAATAATTTACTATTTTAAGGATCTTTAAGTATACTGTTCAGTGGCAGTAAGTATATTTTTATTACAATGCAACTATGGCCATCATCCATTCCCAGAAATTTTTCATCACCCTAAACTGAAACTCTGTACCCCTAAAGAGTATCTCCTTGTTCCTTCCTCTTTTCACGCCCAGATAACAGCAGTTGGACATTTTTTTCTCTATAAATTTAACCATGTAAGTCTTTCATGGAAGGGGGATCCTTTTGTGTAAATAATAATTGTTAGTTATATTCTTGGAATAACATGAACAGAATAACTGCCATCAATTCTGACTATACTTTTCATGATTATCTCCCCCTGTTCTCTAACCTATTGCCCCTGCATCAATCATAAAACACATTTCATTATTTTCCCAAATGCCTATTCCACATCCTTATCTTTGGAATATTGTGATGTGTGCCTAGAATATCATCACTTCATTTCTTTCTATGGGGCATTTGCCCATGTGACCTAGTACAGTGAACACAACCTAGAATCTCACTACACTGACAGATGAATTGGCTTCCCTCTCTCTGTTGCTTGATACAGTGACACTTAAGTGATTCATCAGAATTGCCTTAGGTGTAGGATGGATATGAAGAAATATTGGAAGATATTTATGAACTCATCTTTTCAGAACATAGTAATATACTTGGAAAGATAATTTATCCATACAAAACAAACACAAAGACCATAATTCACTATGAAAATTTGTATTTGTCTACAGTTTTATGGATAATAATGATGACATAGGTATAATAATCCTCATCTTACTACTAAGAGAATGTGAGAGTTTAGTGTCAACTTTTCTTCATAAGAAAGATCTGAAACAGACCAATTCAAAGACTTTGAATTGGAGATTTTCAGCAGGGAGATTTTTTGATATTTTACTTTTCAGGCAGGGAGATTTTTTGGTATTTTACTTTTCAGGCAGGGAGATTTTTTGATATTTTACTTTTCAGGCACTTATTTATTTGAAATTCAACTATCAGTTTCTGAGTACAACAGAGAATCAGGATGGGCCCTCATATCATTAATTCTCTGGTCTCATACTATGGTAACTAGAGTTTGAGAGGTCAAGGGCCTGTCTGACAGTCATTCTGTGCTTCCTTTCACCATTCCCTAAAATATATTTCTTGTTAGCTAGAATGAAACTCAGAAAGGTGGAATAACTTATCCTCATTTATCCAGATTGCATTAGAGATGGTGGTAAGTCTCACATTCTTCTC